ATAGACGCAAACGGTGGTCGATAGGTGCTCCTCTATAGAAGCACGCTTCACCGACAGCGACCAGCCAATTTACCCTACACATTACTGCGTACGGTGTGGTCAACGAGTCACTCTCGGTAGTCACAATTCCTGCTTGAGCTGATTAAATCGTCGAAAGCGAGAAACAAATCCAGTTCCCACATCCACTCTTCTCGCCTTTGGAAGAACAGGGAAGTTGCTGTGTGTGACCTGTGTCTTCGGGCCACGAACTCCGCCGCCTCGCCAATCCATATGAGTATTGAATGGGAGAGCAGTGGTGTGGGGAAATAGGAGTTTTTCGAAACGAACATAAGAGAAGACAAGGAGTAAGGTCGATAAAGTCGGAAGAAGGCTGGCGTACGTTACCGTGGCGAATTGCAGCAGGAGGCTACGGAGTCGACTCCGGTCTGTCGAGAATGTCAATTTCAACCCCTAACCCAGGCCCACTGACTTGATTACTCATTATACCAGTCGTGCTCGAGCCATTCACATGGTACTGACGAGCCATCGAACCACGGTATAAAGCCTGTGCAAAACGTTCAAATGGATTTAGTCTATCTAACGACATGATCCGCATTTACCCCGAAGCACTACGACTTCTGTCTCCTCGCCGCCAAGATCGGCTGCATCAGGAACTCATCGTGCGCCAGGTCCTCGGCGGAGGGACGCTCCTCCGGCAACCACCGGAAGATGCGCTGGAGGAAGTTCAGGAAGAGTGTCTTGTCGGCGCCGTGGAAGTGCTGGATTCGTTGGGCCAGGGATTGGCGGGGGATGCGGATGGAGCCCTTCCAGTTGCCTGTATCACGATCAATTGGGGTCCGCGAGTTTGAGCAGGGTAGCCGGGATAGTTTTATGGGTACATCATTACCTCGTTCATCGAAGAACCGGGCACACTTGCTACTGCTGCTGCTGCTGTTACTGCACCGCTTGACGAATTCGGGCGGCGGAGGCCCCATCAGCGAGACCAGCTCGGCGAGATGTTGCTCGTTGCAGAGGACCCCTTGGGTTTTGCCGGAGAAGAGGTGCTCGTCTTGCGTGAAGTCCCAGGCCTGTTTCACTCGGATTCTATCAGCAGGGGGGTTACAGGGTGAACCGTACGAGGCCAGAGCGATCCTTGGCGGTGAAAGAACTCACCATCACACCAATGGACCACACATCCACCTTGCAATCCCACTCCATCCCCATAATCACCTCTGGCGCGCGATAGATGCCCGGCATGATATCGCCCTGATACCGCTCGTGGCCGAATCGCGCCTCCCCGAGGTCCGAGAGGACCGGCAGCCCTTCGCATGCCCGCATAGCGCGCGAGCGGTAGATAGTCCGGTCGTCCAGGACCTTCCGGGCGATCGGCTGCGTCATCTCGTCCTCTTCGAGGGCGGCCAGGACGGAGCTGTCGTCGATCTTCTGGAGGATGTTGTTGGGGGATACATCTGTTGTTTGTGGTGGTGTTTTGCGGGTTAGCGAAGGTTTTGTCGATGCAGATGAGAAGGATCAAGAAACTGAGAGAGGGGGGGGGCGACAATGCTGTTTACCGGTGTGAACGGTCTGATGCGCGTGGAGAAACGACAGCGCGATCAGGGTCAGTTGCAGACTCCGTTGGCCCAGCTCCGTGGGCAGCGTGCACCCGTTCATGTACCTGGTCATGTTCATCCCGCACGCCTTGTACACCAGGCACCGGTGCTGGCCATGGGGGCCGGCGACCACGAAGGATTTCAGCACCAGCCGCACGAGCGCCTTCCCTGCGTGGTCCGGCGTGTTGCGGAGGTGCTCGGAGACGGCGACCTCGTGCGCGGGATCGTGGCCCTGCGCGCAGACCTTCAGGGTGCGGTATCCATGGGTCCTAAGGGTAGTAGGGGTTTTAGAGTTCAGTTTTCCTTTCTTGCCTGTTGTTTCGTTGTGCGGATCCTTTGCTTCGCGAATCTCTCGGGGCTGCATAAACTATGCCTCCAAACGGGGCAGGGGAGGGGGGGGGGGGGAAAGTACAGAAGATCTCGACAAAGCCAAACGGTCGACGAGGTGCCGTAGCCGAGCTTAGCGACGACCTGGTATCGGGTCGCGAAAATCTCGCCGAGGCGCACGGGGTAGAAGTGTTTCGGTTCGTAGGAGGGGAGCTGCTCTTCTTCCAAGGTCTCCGACGGATCGAGCTTCGTGAAGCCTGAGGTAGGGAATTGGTGCGGGGGGAACGGCGTGGTTGTCGTCTGGGTTCGGATGGGAGTAGAGCGCAGCCCCGCGGAGGTTCTTAAGGCATGATGGCGGGGAGACGGGAGGATGCGCTCGAGTGGACGGATCGATAATCTGGGTTTCCGGCAGATCGTGAACATGGTCTCCTGGAATCGTGGAACATCATACTTTACAGTTAAGAAAGAAACGCAAAAGAAGGCCTCAGGGAATGGAATCGGTCGCGTGCGCCGATAGGGGGGGACGTTTCCTGCTTCTTGGGAGTGTAACTAGTTAAGTTAGTTACTATAACGTCATAACCCCCGGTTTGGTTCATCCATGCTGGCTGGAAGTCCAGATGCCAGGGCTCGGCACTCGCCACTGGATTTCTGTCCTATCTTACTGGATAGAAACAGATTCTACCCCCAAAATAACTCAATTGATTTCATCTGGGGAAATATGCTAAGACAAACTTCCAATGGATAGGATAGTATGTGTACCACGGTGTATGGACCTAAAACGCCTGGACTGCCTGAGTGCCCTGCCTTGCTGATGCTCCTGCGCAGCTGTTTGTTTTCCTTTGATTTTTCGATGTCTCTTGTCTTTTTCCTCTTTTTCTATCTTTTATTGTATACGTCTCCTGTGGTCCGCTGAACATAGCAGCAGATCACAAGCTCAATGCGAATGAAGCTTCTTCATCTTGTTGACACCCTCATACAGCCCACGATCGATGGCAGCGGCCACAGTCAGAGTACCACCGACAATCGCGCAGACTCCAGTCAAGAATCCGGTGAAGGTCTTAGGGCGAGCTTCGCGGTTGATGACCTTCATCGGGGAGATGTCATAGTTGAAGAAGACGCCGGGGATACCGTTGGCGGCGTGGAGTCGCTCCTTGTGGCCTTCGTCGGAGGCGTCGCCGCCCCGCAGGGACCGCTTGTGGGAGGTCACCGAGTACTGATGGGTCTCGATGCTTCCCTCGGCTCCGTAGGCAATTCCATGAGCTCCGAGAGGGGCCTTGTCATAGGCGCTGTGGATGGAGGACGAGAATAGCGGATCCCAGCCCAAGGGGAGGTACGAGGTCGAGACCACCTTGACAAAGTACATGAAGTTGTAGCCAGGTTCGCTGGTCTCCTGTTTCGTGTTGTCCAGGGGGTTGGTGTGGTGGTGGTCGGTCCATTGCCAGCGATCTGACAGCTCGTCAGGCAGCTGAGGTCCGAATCGAAGCTGGTGAATCTCGTGGGTCATGGTGTGTTTCTCGTTCTCGGCCAGGTTGGGCTCGAAGAACGTGGCGAGGTCGTGCACATGGAGGTTGCCACTGGTGAAACTGCGCCCGGGCGCGATGTGGAAGTTGCCGATCACCTTGTTGACGCGGAGGACACCCTCGAGGCGGCAGCCTTCGCGGCGCTGCGCATCGATGCGCTCCGCATACCCCTCGAGGTCACACTGTTCGATGTTCTCTCCCTTGCCGAAGGCCCATTGCTTTTGGGCATAAGCTTCGCGGACCTCTTCGCAGGTGTTGCAGCAGCCAGCCTTGATGGCACCGGCAGGTGCGGGTGCGCCACCACATTCGCCGCAGTAATCGGGGTCCAGGTGCTTAGCGGTCTCTGTCGAAGAATGGCTAGATTGGAAGACGCATGGTCAGTGATAGATCACAAGAAAGAACGAGGGGTTTCCAAGCTTACAGGTCCAGAGCTTTCACGTCAATCACCCGGCCTCCTTCGGCCTCCGAAGTCAGGCGCACCTTGTTAATGCCATGGGCCACGCCCGTTTGTTGCTCGCCTGACACATCCATAACGTCGAGGGTCAACATTTCGCAAGGGAGTCTTGGGAAGGTCATATTCAGATGAATCTCCATCTTCTCGCCTATTTTGCGCCAAATGCCGTTGAGTCAGTCTTGCTTCGTTTCTGTCATCCAGAAGAGGAAACCATTTCTTCATACCTCTCGACTTATCGACCACCAACTCGGGCAGAACCACCACGCGCCTGTAGTCCACCCATTCTCCCCATACAAGCCAGAATATAACCAGCAACGATGCTATGGTGATAACTCCTCCAGACGTGGTTCGAACGCGCGCATCTTCGACCGTTTTGGCGAACGCGTCTAACCTTGTAAATCGTGATTTGGCCGGCATCTCTCTAATGAATTGACGACCATGCGAAGAGGGTCGTGGGGTATGTGGAAGGGTGCGCGGTCTTCGTTATGGACCGGAGATCAGCTATTTAGTGCCCGCGATCAAGGCAGGGGCGGCGCCTGGTAATTAATGACTGAAGTTGAATGTTAGCCTACCGGGTTGAGGCCGTTCAATGAGACAGACTATCTCAAGGGACGTACGTGAATGAGTGAGTGAGGTGGTAGGATAGTAAGTTTCCAGCACAAAGCAAATCCTCTCCTGGGAGTGACGACTGGCGTGCGACGTCAATGGAACAAGCTGTCCTGTTAAGCTGAAGCGGAGAACTACTAGACTTACTTGTAACACTGCGGGTATCGGACCAATACCGAGTACAGGGGGTATTGTTGCAATTTTACCTCTTAGGGATTAGCTCGGTACGGCTACCTACCGACGTGCATGCATCAATACGAAGGTATTACCAGCAGTGCCAAAGGACAGACTACAGACTCTGATTGGACGTGCTTGGATACAGTGCCTGATAGCGAGTCACGTGGTAGCTACTATCAGCTCCGTTCCTCGTAAGCTGCAGGGCGGTCTGCTGTCCGCTCACGTGATGCGCATCCTTCCGGGTGCACGTCACTTTTTCTGCTGACTGACTCTTTTGACTTGTCTAGCTTCTGCTTTTTCATTGTTCCATTATTCCCCTCCCTCAAACCTCTCCACTTTGAGGTTGGTTGGTGGCACTCTCTCAAAAGCACCAGAGGTTCCCCAATTTTAGGGCATCGATTCAAAGAATCTTTCTTTCAACTCATCCCACTCGACCTCGTAAGCGGCTTCTTTCAGCATCTTTCATTGAATGCCGCTTGCCTGATTCTGGACGACAAAGCGCGCAGCGCTCCACCTGCCTACAAAAACCTTTCGCACATCGTCGACGCCCGACTCCGTCTCCTTCAACACACAATCTTGTCGAAAAACACCATCCATATTACGAATCTTCTCTTTGTCGCCCACCATGAAGAACGGAAAGGCTCGAGGCCGCCCCAGCGCTTCGGATCGCGGGGGCATCCGCAAGCGGGGTGCTGCGAAAAAGGTCGATCGGGAAGGTGATTTGGTCATGGATGGAAATACGTCTCAGGCCCGTGCGAAGAGGGGCCGTGGCGACTCTGTTCGATCCGGCGCTTCTTCTGGAACACGGTCTCAGACATCCACCCGAGCTATAGACGCCATTCAGAAGGCTATTTCCAGCAACTCGGAGTCGCAACAAGCGAACATTCGCCAAGGTGGCCGGGCCAGTAATCTGGAACAGGTCAGGGTCAACAACTGGAAGGGGAGCAAGGCCAAATCCAATCCCGACGGCGGCCAAGAAAGCCTAATCGCCTTCCTCGAGAAGAAACTCAGCCCACCCGACGCGAGAGCTAGCGCACGCGCAAGGATCACTAAGGTATGTGCAACACCAGAACTTGCGATCATCGACATATGAGTTATCACCAGCGTCGTCCTCTCCGATGTGCTCTCGTTTTCAGTGATGGTACCTCCAGAACGACGGTCGACACTTGCTTCCGCTCATTTGGCATTTATTCCTTGGGATGATCGCGATCATGGGAGGTCTCTTGCGCCTTACTAACGTTCACTAGTCGCGGCTCGAAGGCGACGCGATTATCGTGTCTATTAAGCCGGAACTGTTGAACAGAATGCTTCAGCTCAACGGCTTTAACTTTGCAGGCAAAATTTTGGAAATTGAAAAATATGATGAAGCCGGGATAGACCAGTCGATGCTGCCTGTGAATGGTAGCACGCCCACGGCCGCCGACACGAAGGCTAAGATGACTGCCTTCCTCGCCAAGCGGTTTAACCGAGAAAACAAGCTCCTTGATCTCTCGGATCTACGCAACGATCCGGATCTCATCGCCATGGGAATTTTCCAAAGCACATCAACTGAATCGAAATTCTTCCCTGCACTTATGAAGGTCTGGGAGCTGAATCTCAGCCTGGTGTTCGACAGCCCCGCCGCGCGTCGCCAGGCGGTCGAGAGCGTCAGTCTGAGGGCCAACAAGCTTGAGAATCTGAAGATGGTCACCACCTTGGCGCAAGCCTTCCCAGACTTGAAAAACCTCGACCTTTCGCACAACGACTTCAAGGACGCACAGTCCTTGCTGGCATGGCGCCATAAATTCGAAAATCTCGAGCTCCTGGACCTCTCCAACACTCCTTTCAGTGCCGATCCTACGTTCAAAGACACCATGCTCAAGTGGTATCTCAAACTTCGAGTCCTCAATGGTATCGAAGTTCGGACCGCAGAAGAATTGGCTGCACTGAAGAAATCGCCGATTCCTGTCCAAGCACCGTATTTCCGGGACGAGGGCTGCATTGCCGAGAATTTCATTAGAGCTTTCTTCTCCGGCTACGACAATGACCGGAACGGCCTGCTTGATAGCGTATACGACAACGAATCCACATTCACTCTTAACATCAACACTGCCGCTCCCAGAGCCCAGCAAGCTGATGTTGCAGCCTGGGACGCGTACATCAAGAATAGCAGGAACTTGCTCAGAATCACGCACTTGACCGCCAGAATGTCTCGATCGCACAACGGTGCGGAGAAAATCCGCAAGCTGTGGAACAGCCTTCCTGCTACAAGACACCCGGATATCGCGGCGCACCCTCAGGATTGGCTAATTGAGTGTTACCCGATCCCAGGACTGGCTGATCCGACCGGCCAGAGCCCCACTGGTGTTGGCGGCCTCCTGATTACAGTTCACGGTAAATACGACGAAATCGGCAAGGGCTCCAAGATCGACACGCGGAGCTTCGACAGAACTTTCGTATTGGGCCCTGGCGGTGGCGCGGGTGGAGTGAGAGTCATCAACGACATCCTATGTTGTCGCGCGTACGGCGGTAACGAAGCATGGGCTCCAGAAACTGAGGGAGCCGCTCAACCGGCGGCTCAACAGGCAACTCCCCAGCAGTCTATCGATCAGGCAGCTGTTCCTCCTCAGCCGGTGGTGGGACCGCCAGCCACCCCGGAAGGGTATGGCATGCCTGCCCCCGGAAAGAGTGAGACACAAGTGCAACAAGAGCAACTCGTAATTCAAGTCATGAGCCAGACTGGAATGACCTTGCAGTATTCCGAGTTGGCTATCAGCGGAAATGGCTGGGACTTGGACAAAGCTTTGCAGGACTTCGCCAAGCTCAAGGTAAGATCAACCAGAAGACTGTTTGCAGCAGAGGCCCATACTAATCGATCTACAGGAGCAGGGAACGTTGCCCCCTGAAGCCTTCCTAGCCGGAACAGTCTAAACACTCGACACCGCCGCTCGTCATCGACAGAACGGCGGGTTCAAATCAAACTTTGCTAGATCACAATGGTGTTTGTTTGGAGTTACAATTTTGCCTTACTTTGGCCTGGTTTGTTTTTGCTGCTTCTTATTGCATGGCTCGGGCGAATGGCAATCGGGCTGAAGACACAGATATTGAATCTAGTTTTTTCTTTCTCATCTTATCCTGTTATGTATCAACCAAGACCACGAATATTATGTCCATAAACAAAGAGCCTGGGGGATTGGAGAACAATACCCCCTAGGCCGATTCATTACCATCCACACACTTTTCACCTGTCCATCGCTGTAAGCGAAGAACATAAAAGCCTCAATAAATATAGTAGATCGTTGTAGTCACAATATAAGAATTTGAGCAAGCCCCATGGTGCTTGCAATTGCTCAATCCCTGCCAAGTTAAGGCTGGAGTGCTGGACAACTTGCCGGACTCCCGCCCGCGCTTTACTCCCCGCCTTCCCGCTTCCCCCCCAATCGTTTGGAGCTGATCAACCCATCCTACTCCATAACAACTAGCTTCCTTTGTTCTCCCTCCCCCCTGTACTTCTTCGGTTGTGTGCATGTTGAATCGGCGACTGCCCTCAAGCTGGTATTGCAGCATGTGTCTGGTGTTCATGCCAAAGAGCTAATGGAATGTTCACCACTACTACCACTACCACCGCCTCAATGCCCTCCAATGGAGCGGCCGATATCGACCCCTTAGATACAGGTGAGCGGACCTGGCTGACAACCCTTCAGTCCTGCGTCCTACGAAGCACATTCACTGATTAATCTGTTGCACTAGCGGACTACGATCCCATCAACCATCTGAACTTGATCTTCTCCCATCCCTCCACGCTGTCCGCCGTGTCACAAGTGTCCCAGTCCCTCTCCGCATACGAAGATGAGCTCGACGACGATATCAGCGCCCTGGTCGAGGACCAGGTCACCTCGAATGCGGAAAGTGTAGAGCGCATCCAGGCCGCCAAAGCGGACCTGACCGAACTGTTCAAGAAAATTGACGATGTGCGCGACCGCGCCTCCAAGACCGAGCTCGCGATCACGGAGATGACGGCGGATATCAAGCAATTGGACAATGCGAAGAAGAACCTCACACTATCCATGACCGCCCTGAAGCGGCTGCAGATGCTGACGACGGCCTACGACCAGCTTCGCGCCCTCAGTCGGACCCGGCAATATCGGGATTGCGCCCAGCTACTGCAGGCGGTCATTCAGCTCATGGCGCATTTCAAGTCGTACCGGTCGATCGATCAGATCGCTCTTCTCAGCAAGAACGTGGCAGATATACAAAGGGAGCTCCTGGAACAAGTCTGTGAGGATTTCGAGCTGGCGTTCGCCAAGGGGGAAGTTGGGCTGCGCAGGTCGACACTCTCGGAGGGTTGTTTGGTCATGGATGCGCTGGGCGATCATGCGAAATCTCGGCTCGTGACCTGGTACTGCAATTTCCAACTGCGCGAGTACCGTCAGGTGTTCAGGAACAATGAGGAGGCAGGATCTCTGGACAATATATCGCGGCGATATGCGTGGTTCAGACGCATTTTGAAGATCTATGATGAGGAATACGCGCCCATCTTCCCCGCGTCTTGGAAAGTTAATGAGACTCTCACCAACATTTTCTGTGAAGGAACGAGGGACGACTTCAAGGGGATTCTCTCGCGCTCGGTGCGCAATGGGCAATCGATCGACGTCAATCTGCTCCTGTCGTGTTTGCAGGAAACCTTGGATTTCGAACATTCGCTTGAGCGACGCTTTGTGAGCCCCGCTCGTCCCTCTACTGATACCTTTGCCTCGAGCGAGGCGCCGGTGTTCGGCCAGGCCATATCGGAGGCGTTTGAGCCCTATCTCAGCGTCTGGGTCGAGGCGCAGGATAAGCAACTGGCTGCGCTTATACCCAAGTACCGGCAGCAGCCCATCAAGCCGCCGGACGAAGAGTTCGACTCGCACATAGTGATATCCTCCTCAACGGATCTCTTTAACTTCTACCGACATGCTTTACAGCAATGTGCGAAATTGTCCACCGGCGGAAGCCTTGCAGACCTGGCAAAGGTCTTTGCAAAGTACCTGGACCAATACGCACAACAGGTACTTCTCTACTACATCAGTGAACGTCCCAGTGGCCACACACCATCGAAGGTACCTAATCTCGAGGATCTCATCCTGGTCCTCAACACTGCCGATTACTGCTACACAACCTGCAACCAGTTGGAGGAGAAGATCAAGGGGAGGCTGGATAAGAACTTGAAACAGTCGGTCGACCTGCAGAGCCAGGCGGACACATTCATGGGCATCGCGTCTGCAACCGTTCGAGGTCTTGTACGAAGAGTTGAGATCGACTTGGAGCCTTGCTGGCGCGAACTGCGCAATATACCCTGGAGTCGACTGGAAAGTGTCAGCGACCAGAGCTCCTACGTGGGCGAACTCTTGTCAAAGACTCAGACCAAGTGCTCGGAAACTCTACAGCTGCTACACAAACAGCAATACGCCCGGGCCTTCGCAGACCACACTGTAGAGCTGATCTCCAATCTTTTCACCACCAACATCTTCCAGTCCAAGCCTATTGCAGAGACTGGAGCGGAGCAGGTAAAATATCCCCGACCACGGTCTACATCCCGCTGCCTCTCCCAAACTAATCACCTGCGTCCAGATGCTCCTCGATGCCTACGCCCTCAAAGCCGGCCTTGCATCACTCCTCCCAAATCCCGCCCCCGCCGGCTTCGTCAAGCGCGTCAACAGCAGTTTCGCCAAGATCGAGGCCCTCCTCAAGACCCTGCAGGTGCACCCTTCGCCCCCCGAAGCCCTCGTGCAGGCGTACCTCGTCCACATCGCCGACCAGAACAACACCAACTTCCGCAAGATCCTGGACATGAAGGGCATCCGCAGCCGCCAGGAACAGAACCACCTCCTGGAACTCTTCCAGATCCACCGCGCATCCGATCGCTACGCCTCCAACCTCCAGCAGAGCAACCCCATGCTCACCGCCCTGCAATCCACCAGCGCGCCCACCTCCACCTCCGTCTCCCAGGGCCTGGGACTCGGCTCGGCCGCCGCGTCCATCGGCGCCACGAATCTCCCCACCCGCTTCGACGCATCCCTACTCGGCTCCGCCCTCATCTCCGCCGCCAAGGACGGCGTCGACCGCTTCGGAACTCCCATGAGCGGCTCCTCGGCGACCACGATACCCGGAGTGGGAGGCGGCGCGGGCGCAACAGCCGGTGTTGGTGGTGGCGGCGGCGGCGGCAGCGGAACCATCCTCACCTCAGCCTCCTCGACGCCCAATCCCGGTGGTTCGGCCCCGAGCAACCCCGGTGCGGAGAGCAGCGCCGCTGCGAACCTGAACGAGAACCTGAAGAATATCGGCAAGTTCTTCCGCCGTGATCTGGGAGGGTTTGGCGGTCGGTTTGGCAGAAGTGGGGATGACGGGTGATCAACCTTGGTTTTAGGTATGCTTTCTGTACATATGAATATAATCTCTTTTACGTCATTGGGTCTGCTTTCTCGTGGTTGTTCGGTAATCGTATCGTACTGTATGGGATTCGTTCAGCTTGGCTGTAGACATCAGAATTCCAGCGAGAAGAGTATTGTGCTGAAGCTTTTAGAGCTTGTACCGTCTGGCCTGTGGTTGCTGCGTAGCAGCGCGGATAAAAGGCTATCTATGGCCCCTGCGTTCGTTCTATAAAAGAGGAAGTTGCGGCTCTTGGCTCTGAGATATCTGTCTGTCCCTCAATAGCGAGTTTCATTTTCCTTTCGCTATTTTCTGGTGATCTTCGCATTCTCCTGTTTTGTGAGGGGTTGGGGCGCGACGTGGGCGAAGAGAACGTGGGTATTCATTCTTATGTTTGGCCGCGGCTGAGGATGTCATGAATTGGTGTAGTGACATAACTTCCAGGTTATGCCTTCCGGCTGTGCAGTTCTTCCTTGTGCGCATACAGTGTCAGATAAAAGTTTGCCTTTGTTGTGTAGGCAGTATAGAAGACTCGAGAGATCTGTGTAATGTTTTTGGAAAAAAGGGGGGGGGGGGATGGGTATGTGAGCAGAGATATAGAGATAGCCCCACCTACGACAGGCACTCATACACAGGAAGCCGTGGGATCTCTCGAACGAGAGACCGAGTGACGTTTGGATTGTCGCCGCATCCCTGACAGGGCTTTTATTTGTTTTTAGCACTGAGTATGTCAAGATCTAAGTATATTTACATTTACATCATCCTTTGTGATGTTGGCAAGATTTTACTCGTATACATCCACTAAGAGGTATACTTTGGTTCATTTTAATGCCTTTGTCTACTCGTCGTCCCCGCCTCTCGGCGTCTTGCGAAGCTTGCTCATGGCATACAACAGATCGTTCAGCTCTCCCCGCTTCTTGTCTTCGGTGGTAGCCGGGATTTCCACCGTACCAGCGGCGTTGATAGCACCGGTCGCGGACTGCAGGGTTGGTTCCCAGTCCAGCGAGCCCTCGGCGCTCTGCTGGAGACGGAAGGCCGCGACCAGGGTGGAAGGGGCAGAGGGGCTTGCGCGCCACTCGTTGGTCGAGCCTGCAGTGCGGACGGAGTCGACGGAGATGAGCAGCGTGTTGTCTTTCTCGATGCTGGTCACGGCGAGGACGTTGCCGGTGAGGTCGAGGGGGGTTTGGGGCTTGAGGGAGCCGTCGGCTTCGAGGGTGAAGCATTGGAGTTGGGAGGATCTATGGATGGTTGAGGATTAGTGGCTGATTGTTCTCGATATTGCGGTTATTATTGTTCGAATCCGAGGTGCTTACCCGTCAAGCGCAACAAGAATGAGTCGCAAGTCCCCGAGTGTCGTGGCCCAGATCCCGCGGACGACCACCTCGGCGGCCGACGAGTCCTCGACCAGAGGAACCTTGTGGAGAGCACGGCCCTCGGTCCAGTTCCAGACCATCAGGTAGTTGTCGCCTCCGCCGGAGATCAGGTACTCGGGGGCGTCCCGCGGCACGCAGATCTTGCTGATGAAGGCGGTATGGCCCAAGCAGTAGTTCTCGATGACATGCGCCTGGGGTGGGCCACGAGAGACACGGATGTGTTCGTCGCGGTCGGCGGTCAGGATATAGGTACGCTTGTGGGTGTCGGAGGGGAGAGATACGAAGAGCATGTCGGTGAGCAGCGAGACGTGGCCGAGCAGGAGATGGTGTTCGAACGAGGGGCCGGACTTATCCTCCCCTGCTTCCTTCTTCTTCTTGGCGAGTTCAAGTTGCTGTTCCAAAGCTCTCAGGTTGCCCTTGGTGTGCACGGTCAAGTTGGTTGCGGCAG